TTGTTCTCTCTCTCTCTCTCTCTCTCTCTCTCTCTCTCTCTCTCTCTCTCTCTGTGCCATCGCCCAGCTCCACAACAAGCTCCAAAGAAGATCCTCCGCCACCATCTCCATCCTTCCTTGGCTTCTTCTTCTTCCCTATCATAGAGAGAGAGAACCCAACTTCGTATGGAAAGAGAGAGGAAGGGTTCGATTGTTTCTTGAGACAAGAATATTTTTGGTGCCCTTACCTACTCAGAGATAGAAAGGCAGAGCTGACCTTGCTCTGTTTTTCAGAGAAGAAGTAAATTTTTTTTTTTTTTTTAATAAACTGCAGCTCAGCTTGCTCTATTTTCAAAGAGAGAAGAAAGACTTTTTAGCAATAAGTTTGCTTTGAAAGAGGGAATTTTTTTTTGGGGGGGGGGAGGGGCGGGTTGGGGAATCAGTCCCCCCATTTAAGAGAGATAGGAAGAGCTTTGTGTGTTGTCTTTGAGCTTCAATCTAGGGTTGTGAAATCAAATTAGGGGGGCCATAGATCCATTGGGATGGTGCTGTGGTTTGGGTGATCATCAATGGAGTTAGCCGTTGAACCCAGATATACAAAGAGGATTTCAATCCGCCTCTTAGTTGATTTGAGCTTGGACCTTTGGCATGTGGGTTTCTCGTTTAAGAGGGGCTCAATCTGGCCCATTTTAGAGAGACGAGGAAAAGCACTATGCCTTGGCTTTGAGCTTTGCTTTTGGGCTGTGAAAGCAAAATAGGGGTGCTTCAGATCTATTGGGACGGTGCTGTGGTTTGGGTGATCATCAATGGGGGAAGCTATAGAATCTAGATGTACAAAAAGGGGGTTTCCCACTTTCTTCCCGTTATTTATAGTAAGAAAAAGAATGAGGGTTTTCACGTGAAAGCTCTTCAAAAACCTGAAAAAGTTGCCAGTAGTCTATGTGGAAGCTCCAATTCACAAGTTTCTAAAGTTCATCTGTTTTGGTGAAGGTTTCTGCTCTTTCTCTAACAGTTTCACCCATTAGAAACCAGTCTCTCTCTGTAGCAGGTTCATTCAATCCAAAAACCCCACTATACCCTCTCTCTCTCTCTCTCTCTATCTGGCTCTCACACACACACACGCATGTTCACTCCAATCCAAGAGTGTGTCCCTGTTATTGGAAGAGACCATATAAATATTGAAGTCATCAGACAAACATATTACATGAAAAGAATTTCTTGTTAATATTCTACTGGATAACCAAACAGTTTATGAAAGCAACAACATAGAAATGGCAAGGTTTCCAATTCAGTATGAAAAAACTTGTACGTTTTTCTAATTTCAAAGAATTTAAATCATGAATTCAAACTGGTCAAGGAACATAATAGATGTATACTCACCATTACAGTAGTCCTGGAGATTTGAAACTGCAACTTCTAGCCCTCTACTTGCATTAGAAGTACCCATAACTGATCCCCCCGCAATACCATGTCTCCCAATATCCTCCTCAGCAAATGACCCTAAAAAAGCCATGTCAACAACTTGTGATGGCGATGATGGTAAAAAGTATGCACCACTGTATATTAGAAAGTTGCCCATGTGATGTTGAATTAGCTAAGTCACAAATTCAATAGTAAACATCGCGTATAACGCAAGGCATGAAAAACGGGCACCAGGTAGATAATAATGGGCCAATGCCTTCAGTAAGAGTCTACCCAATGAGGATATGATGCTATGTGCACAAGAAGGGCGCATGCCAGGTAATGATGCATGTTTAGTTACAACATGTATTCGGTAAAGACATGTGAATGCTCAGGAATTATGCTTGGTGAAGGCATTTGCTTGGCGGGAGTACATTTGCCCAATAATTTTTTCAAAAATTAAAAAAGGGAAAAGTACAGTCGCATGACACCATTAGTTTTTCTAGCAGGTTTAATTAATCTTTTTAGAATTAAAAGAAATTAACTGCAAAGAAATCTAAAACAGTAAATTTATCCTCCCACGTCTAGCTCAAGGGTTGGCACACTTACGCAGTTTTTGTGCAATTGAAGCAGCCTCAGCAACACGACTATCATCAGAAAACAGCGGTGAAAGTTCCATTAGATCACCCGGACTGCTGTTGAACTCCATTAGGTACTGCAAAAATGGGTAAGTAACATGACACACAACGCTTCCTGTAACGTTGAGAAACATAACATTCACAGATGGCTCACAAATAGATGGTGTAGATACCTTAATGAGCTCTATCGTTTGGTTGGCAGTTTCCCTCTGAGAATCTGCACTCTGCAAAAGTAGGTTGTAAGTTTATTAAAGCATTCTTGTTGTACAAATCCCAAAATACATGCCATACAACTCCACCCATTCATTTAGCAAATATGAAATCACGTCTCAAGCGAGAGCAATTAAATGTAATGTGCATATAAAAATAAAAAAGAAGAGCTGAAAATTCAATATTTGTAATCACTACCTGCAGATGATCTCCAATTTTAGCAGCCGTTTGTCCCACACTAGAAATACGGGAATCCAACCTAGCAAAGCTGTCAAATAGACCATCCACACCTCTTTCCAGCTGAAAGAATACGAAAAGCAAGATAAATAATAAATTTAGCTTAATCTTTCAATCATACAATCAAAAGTTGGTGAGATTAGGACTGGACGAAGCTCAGCAAAACCATAGCATATTTACCTTTTCACTTTTGTTTAATTCCAGTGTATTACTGAATATGGTGCTTGTCACACCAAAATACACAGTGCATCTATAGATCAAATTTTAACTAAAAACAACAGATTACCAAAAGCTCTGAGAAATTTGTCATTGAAATACCGCTTGCTGAAATATTGGGGCAACTGAGAAATAACAATTTGTAAGGATTAGAACAGGAAGAGGATAGGGAATAAAGCTTGGGGTCAGAGTGGGAGCGCAAGAGGAGGATTGAAGTTCGACAGTGTGAATACTATCCTACTTAGAGATAGTGCCATAACAAACCTAGATTACATTGCTATCTCTCTTGCACACACATATTCATTCATTTCATATTACCCCTCAAAATTTCAACATCAGCAACTACAATCAATCAACAGTGAAACTTTCAGCAATTAAAAACTGTGTACGTTTGCTCAAACACACGTACAATGATGGAATATCAAACATCCCTCAGTGTGTACGGCTGTATGGCCTTTAAAGCTTGTGAGAGCATGTAAGTATAACAAATATAGTAAATTGTATGCTTCAGTGGGAGTGTGTATTGGTTGACTTGTTAATTTAATTATTTGTTTTTGCAAAACATACTTTTCTGCAACACCACTAGGATCTTTGTGGACCACTTAAACTTTCACTTATATTGATGTAGCATCATGGAGCATACTATTTAATGATGTTATGAACTATGATGAGGTGCCACCTTCATCCCTCACATTATTTAAAACATTTTTTATTGATTCTATCTCATATTTTGAATTTTTCCCTCAACCGAAACTCCTCTTATTCTCCCTTCCATAAAAATCACCAAGAGCAACTGTGTTAGTTTTGTTAACAAAGGCATAATGGCCTCATGCATCTTCTCAAGGCCTCATGCATCTTTTTAGGTATATTACAAATTGGAATGTATCAGTTTGTTCAGATGTGGTTTTGTACGAGTTTTCTAAGTATGCATATCATAAGCTCAAGATTTGTTAATCTGATTTGGTTGTATCTTGGGAGTGAGCTCACGCATACAAATTACATCCCGGAATTTTTCCAAGTCGAGGGCGCCTATCACTTCAAAGAACGCGAGACTCTCTCATGGCTTAACATCTTGAAATTTTGGTTTCCTTATAATTTAAGTGCGGTCCTTTGACCTCTTTATCTAACTTAAGGGTGTCATCTAATTGTAATCGAGATTTTGGTAAACCTTTTCACTGTAGAAAGCATTTTGAACGCAGTGGACCAGTTTTTCACCATGGTTCCTGTTTTGACCACAGTTCTTGATCCAAACGCGGTTCCTATTTTGAACATGGTTCATGTTTTGACAGTGGTTCCTGTTTTGAATCCAGTTCCTATTTTGAATGAGGTTTATGTTTGAACATGGCTCCTGTTTGACCATGATTCTTGTTTTGACTGTGGTAACCAGTCATGACCATGGTGGCCAATTTTGACCGTGGTTTCCAGTTTTGACTGCGATCGCCTATGTTTTACTGCATTTACCAATTTTTTACCACGATAGCTAGTTTTCACCAACTTTAAAGCTTGCCTTGAAAATATAAAAGGGAAAATTAACATAACTAACCTAGGGGTAGGGCGGTCTATAGCCAAGTCATGTCCAAAACCTTTTCACCCTTGGCACCGGCACTACTATTGAGGGTTTTATGGAGGGTCATCCTTTGTTGAGGTTGGAGAAATACCTAGGGATATTTGTAGGCCAAGAGAGCTTCGTGATATCCAATGTCAGGAAGCAAGCTTGTAAGAGCGAGGGTCAAATCCTCAACAAACTTCAACACAATATGTATATATGAAACGAATTCTAGGAAGCAACCCTATAGAGGGATATGTATACATATGCATAGATAGAGTCCCCCTTACACTATATTGATATATGCAAGTGACTTGCTCTTAGGAGGGGGAACCTGTAATCCATATACTAGGACACATGGTTCCACTATTTATTAGCCAACTTTGACAAGCTAATCATGAGTCCCTGGGCATGGTTGTGGGTCATGGGTCCCTTTAGGTTGGTTTGAGAGGACAGTTGTGGATCATGATTCGTAGCACCAGCGGAGTACCCTTACAGATAGTTGTGGGTCATGGGTCCCTTCTAAAAAGGGGTTGTACCAAAATTTAGGATTTAGGTAGGAGCATGGTGGGTCCCATGTGGGCTTCCCTTTTTTGTTGTGTGTGTGTGTGTGTGTGTGTGTGTGTTTGGGGAGGTGGGCAATATAGGGGACAACATGGGCCACACTACATTGTGGTATACCACACATATTTCGCAGTAAGTTGTGAGGTCTGAAGGGGAATCCAGTAAGATTTGGAAATATTTGGAAAATATTTTGACAATTATTTTGTGGGAGGACAAATTTTTTTGTTTTGTTTTGGAAAATGTTCTTAATTTCATCATCATCATCCAAGCCTTATTCCAATTATTGGGATCGGCTACAAGAATCTTGTCCCGCCATTCTGCTCCATTAAGGGTCATACACTCAATAAGTTCATATGTCACCATATATTTTCTCACTACTTCCATCTATGTCCTTTTGGGCCTTCTCGTGACCCTTTTAGAGCCTCCCACTTGAACCAAATCACACCACCTAATTGGTGTAGTATTAGGTCTACACTGTACATAACCAGCTACATAGGTATGTTTTCCCTCATCATAACGCCTATTCATTCTTAATTCTATCCCTTCCTGTCTTGACACTCATCCATCTCAACTACACTCATCCTATAGATATGTAAATTCTTGACCTCCCAACAATTGGTATGCAGCAATAACATAAAACACCGGATGCACATCTCTACTTCGCCCACCTAGCTCAAATTTCTATGTGCGACATCTTCCCCAATCTCTTCATTCTCCTGGATTAATGACTCAAAAGATCGAAAATAACCCCTTTTAGGTATTTCTTGGCCACTAATCTTAACTACTTCCTTGTTTCTACTCCTATTATTACTAAACTTGCATTCCATATATTATATCTTAGTCTGACTAATTTTAAAATGTTCTTAATTTCTTATGACAACGAAATTTGACCAAGATTCTTTGAATTTCTACAATGTCTTTGAAAGAGAAAAGAAAATTCTATTCAAAATAGAAGATGAGATTTGATTGGCCTTATCCTAGACTGAGTAGAAGTAGATATGGGACAAAGATTCAGGGGATAAGGTTCCTAGATTCCTTCCTGAATCATTATAGCTGATTTCAATGATGGATGGCTCTTATTTGTTTTCTCTCACCTCATAGATTACTAAAAAAGCTTTTGGGCAAACTGAATCCTAATTGAGTTTGGAATACCCTAGGGCCATTAAGGCTTATATAAGGAGGGGTCCTCCCCTCATTCTCTTCAATTGTTTTCTCAGACCCCTCTCTCCTCTCTCCCCTCCATGCCACCTCTCTCTCTC